TTCACATGTTGGCTGAGTGGACTGAATCAAAGTGCAAGAATCATGGTTGAACTGCTCAGATATGGAGAATTGGGTGCTCTGAATTTCTCATTATCACTTCCATGGATGTACAACTCCCAGGACTAGGAATGCCTGCCCTGCCTTGGGAGCTGGGGCTCCTCCCTCACCAGCAAAATCTTCATCAGACTCCTGTGCCCACAGAGCAAAGTCTGGCAGTGCAGGGCCTGGCAAGGCTTGGTCACAACACCCACAAGAGGCAGCAGAGCAGAGCTCAGCAGGGATCCTCACTCCTGGGGAGCTGCAGGGCCCCCAGCACCCTGAGGAGCAGCAGGGGCTCCCTGTGAATGCTGCACTCCCAGTCCTGGATGCTGCTCCCACTGGGGTTTGCTACAGGCACTCTCACTTCTTTTCTTTAAATCAGCCCCAATATGCCAGCCAAACACATAATGATGTCTTAAAGATGCAAAATAATAAACTTAAAGAGTTAAGAATATAAACTTAATTTAGAAGAACACGAACCTAAAGACCCCAGAACTGAAGTTTAAGGACATGACAAGGACACAAGTCAGATTCATAAAAAATTCTGCTAAATAATTTTGATTCTCAGGGGAACAAAAACTTATCCCCTAATCTTGGATGGTTGGTCGTTTTTGGGGCTCCTATCCTGAACAAGCCTCTAGGTACAACCAGAATGCAAATAACAACTCTCAGTTATTAGATTTAGGGGGATTAATCTGCTGTACTAATATGTACATTACATGGATTATTGATATGAGTCCAGAAAGTCCTGTTAAGTGAATATGTTAAAACACAAGTAGAATATAGATAGGCTCAATCTAAAAATTAACATTTAGGAAGAACAAGGTAGCATAAACACATCCATTACTTCTTCACATTGCTCACAATATTTTAAATTAATCTCTTCAAAGAGAAATTTGCAGGCTTCTTGTTACCTTTCCATTGTGAGATCAGTTCTGAACATCTTCCCTTGCAGCATCTGGCAACTGAATTCTTGACTTTGTTTGTGTTTTCCAGACTGTCAGATTTAATATATTCGTTGTTTAATGATTCCATCCTCACCTTTAAATTTATGAAGGATTTTCTGTTTTAATCCCAGAAAATATCACAATCAAAATCCCTACTCCTAGAAGATGAGGCCTCACTTAGCAAAATAGACACTCTTTTTGCAAAGGTTTAAAGCTTGAAACTTAAAATCACCACAAGTTTATAGTAAAATTTAACATTGCCCATGCTTGTTGATTTTTCCCCACTAAAGCAGATCCATTTTGCTTTGCAAAGCAAAGCAAACTTGGCCTCAGCACACTTTCATGGTGCTGCCCTTCTGGATTCTGTTGAACAGCTCCTGGAGACAGAACACAAGGCTGCTTCATTAAACATCCACCAGCAAATCTAATGTGTGAAAAATTTCAACGACTCATTCATAGTTCAGCTAGTTTATGATAAATTTCTCATCAACAAGACATCACAAGCAGAGATCAAAGAAACTCCAGGGAATGATTTCTCTTCTGATATTCAGAAACTTGTGAAGGTGGGAAGTCTAAAGAGAATGGGCAAGGGCAGCTGATTAAATACGAAAGTTTGTATTTCCAACTCTGGAAGCTAGTTATAAAATAAAACCTCATCCCAAGCAGGAAAACAAATCAAATGGGGGGAGAAGGTATTTTTGCTTGAACTATAGTATTTAGCATCAGGCATACGTTGTTCACAAGAAGGGTTTGACTGACTTGGAGATTCACAATTCCTGTTCACAGACTAAAACCAGCATGAACAGAAGCATCTGGGATTGTTCTACCCCTGCAGAACCCTTTGTTCCTGGCTTTCATTCATTCTGCTGTCCACTCCTGCTTAGTGCAAATTACTGGGAGACACTTCTTGGAACAGGAATTCCAAATTTCCAAGTAATACTTGCAGATCATACACTGATTTTTCCAGTTGTTTGGCAATAGGTTTAGCGCAATAGGTTTAGTTATATGTGCTTTCAGGTAGCCTAAAAATCAATTACATTAACAATCATGCTGTTCTTCCCTTTGGAACACAGTGATTTTGTTAATCAATTTCTTTGTGTTCAAAATGTGGAAAGCAACTTAAATCTTCCCAGTTTGGTTCATGTCAGTACAACTGCTAAAAAAGCCCATCTAAATAAAAATTGAATGTTAAAAATTTTCCTTCAATGTGACATACTGTTGCAAAATTCAAATACCCAGGACTACAGGAACTGAAATAGCAGATCTAACCAGAGACACCCTAAAAATCTGATCAGAGATATATCAATTCTGAATGGTCTAGAAAAAAAAGAATCAAATATATCTTGAAAGTTAGTGGTTTGCTTATGCCTTGGAGCCCTTTGAAGGTTATCCAGCCTACAGCAGCTGTTTGGCTCACATCTCCTTCATCTGCATTAAGAACCATGCTCTGGGCCTGGAAAAAGTGCTCAGCAATGCATGGCTGCACAGCAAAGATTTAGAAATTGGATATTTTATGTATATGGTCTCTGAATATTAAACACTTGAATCTGCTAAGACAAATGCGCAATGTAATGTTTCACTCACATTAAATACTGTAATAATGGGGGGAATGTCACATGCTCTATCAAGTGCATGTAAATATTGTAGTATTTATAAACAGCATTTAACAACTGTGTATATATTTTTAAGATATACACTTTCTATGTGTGTTTGCACTTTACACAACACACTGTGGTTCATAATTGTCCATTACAGCTGTGTAATTTATATCATTATCTTACATATTATATTCTAACACATCATTATACTATTACATAGCACTACTTTGCTGCCCTCTAATACATATTTACCTCTACTGGTTTCCAGAGTTTTGGTCCCAGAACACCTTGAAATCCTACAAACTTTGAAGTTACCAGGAAACAAAATGAAACAAATATTTTTTTTCTCTGCTCTTCTCAAATTTGGAATTCTGCACCCAAACCTCAAATTCTGCCAGAGGCCCAGAAACTGAATTCTCCCTGTCACTGCAGTAATAGGTTAAAATTGCAGCACTGTGTGCCCTTGCAGTGCTGCCAAGAGGCAGCTTTATTTCGCTTGAAATTGAGATTTAAGGCTTTGAGTAAGACACAAATCACATGTCTAGCAATCTAACTCACTGGACCTTAGCATCATGACTTTTAAAAAGCAGTTTTTATCATTTTATACATATTTTTCCTATGACTGGAATCACAATGTGCAAAGGTACCTGGTGTTATGGGCAGAAGGGATTAAACTCTTATTAGAAGTTCTCTGTGCTGTTAATAGTTTCAGTAGCACTTTGCATTGTCCTGTGCAGATAATATCAAGTATTCCACAAAATGGAATCTTCTGTAACAGCTTTCACTGGACTTCTGGAAAGGCCTGCAGAGCTCAGCAACAATTTGCCCATTTTCATAATGGCTCACCCCAAACTTAAAGAGACAAATCTTTGTAGGACACCATTGTGAGGCTCCTTTTACTAGGAGAGAGCTGTACTAGAGCACCAAACAAAAGTACTTGAGAAATTCCTTGTGATGGCAATTGTTATAATAAAAGTTCTAGGACTCGTTCTGTACACAGAACGTACTTAAAATACATTCCAGTAAATTCCTCTTCCTCTTAAAGAGTTTCATTTGAAAACAAATTCATTCAGTAATTGATAAAAAGTCTAATTTCTGGACAGACTGGCATGGAAATGACTTTTGTAAACAGTGTGCACTACAGAGGTTTTAGAAGAAATATCTACAGGCATCTACTGTAAAAGATAAGTTTAGAGAAATTCAGGATACACTTAAAATGATCAAAGCCTTTTAATACCATATCAGTGAAACCATCAAACTCTTGCTTAGATGAACACACCTAGTGACTGTCAAAGCAAAAAGTTTTTATCTGCTGTAAAAACAGGATTTCCCCTCAGTTATTTTGGTTTAACTAAGACTTTCAGACAAAAACAGTAAAACAAAACAATTTTATTATTTAAAAAAATAATTATTTTAAAAAATCAAAGGACATAATGGAAAAAAACAGGAACATATTGGAGAGGCAAGAGGAAAGGAGACAAGAAGAATGGGAGGAGAGGGAGATTAAAGCAAAATAGAACACACCCTTTAAAATTCTCCTAATATTTCTTCTAAGACACAGGTTTCTTGGAAGTAGAAAAATTTGAAGGGACTAGATACCAAGTTACCACTCAGAATAAGATTTTTAGATGCTTAGTCCTATTCCCTGAATGGAACAAAGGCCACTTTGGTAGCCTGAGATTTAATTATTCTCAACCCAGGCAGATTCCCCCACTTAAGGCTTGAGTATCCCCTTTCCCTTTTTTCCTACCTCCTTTGCACTCAATCATCTTCCAGGCCCTGCTGACCTCTCATTTTCCCCACTGCCCTTCTACAAACTGAGACATTCATTTGTCTCTTTCTGAGTACCAGAAGGCTGCCAAGCAGAAATATTCACAAGGAGAGTTTGCTGGAATAGCCACAACCAAAAATTCATAAACAAAAACCAAACAAAAAAGTAAATAAACCCACAACTGACTGACTTTGTGCAGCCAAGCTGGTTGCACATGTGGCTATTGTACACCCACCCCCTTCAGGTCAGGGAATAAATCTATTATCCAGCTCTCTGCCCTGCAGGGCTGTCCCATGGCCCAGCAAGTGAGTTTTACTCAGCAATGCCTTCCTGTGCTAATATTCTAAAGACACTGATATTTCTATCTTCTCATTGTTCTGGTTTTGTGTATTAAACACATGTTCCTGGTGTATGTATTTAACTTCTCATGCTATGGAATGCTGTGACCCAGAAATCCTGCTGAATTTCTGACATAGCAAGTTGGCACCAGGAAAGTGATTTCACTGCAGGATCACAACAAAAAATGTAAGGCCATAGGAAGAAAATGAACTCCCACTTCCAGGACAGCTACCCTAAAACACAACTCAAAAACTGTCTTAGCTATTGCAAGACAGCCTATATTTTAAAATCAAAATTCCACCTGTCATGAGAGTATCAGTATATGGGAAATGGTTCCAAGGGATTTGCACGTAAGTAACAGAGGTGTTCTCCTGGTCCCAAATTTCAACTTCTGTTCAGACTTAATGAATTAATTTTTCAATTGTCTAAGGATTAGGTGAGAACCACTGAAATATCCTCTTCAACCCAAGCTCCATGACAGGAAGAAGGATGCTGACCATTATTTTTCTGAAGTGGAAAAGCTACTTTCCTTACTTGGAAATGCCAATTTTACTCAAAAATTTTATGCTGTACTGTACGATGAATTTAAAGTGCATGACTAGTAAATACTAAAATTTTTCTCTTAACATTAGATACTTTTACTATACTTCATCCTCATTACTTCTCATGCTTAGGCAATTTTTGTGCTATGAAGCAGATATTTTGTAGCTGTATTTCTATACCTAAGCAGACACAATACATAAATGTATTTCAATTGGGATCTCTCTCCCAGAAAAGCACAGGATATTTATAGCTTCAAACCCTGGACAGCATCTAGACCTTTGTCCAGTTTCCAGGAGAGTTTTCATTAACAAGTTTAAAGCAGTGCTACCACATCTGGAAATTTCAGAAGGAATTCCACAATTCTATATTTAGGAACACCTTCTTATCTTTTGGGGTGATTCAATCCAAGTCAGCCTGCTGGATGAACCTGCTTATTTTGTTCAACTGGGAATCTCTCTTCATTTTACTTTTCAATAAGAAAACATCTCAATTCAAATATAAAAATGCTCTGGTTTGTCTGCCCAAAACTAACTCCAAACCATTTCACAAGAATCTGCTATATTGCAATGTTTACAAAACCAGCCTTCAGTGCACCTCACAGAAATACTGTTAATACAAAGTAAAGGTAAAGGGCTGAACCTACTTTGGGGTGTCAAGAATTCACAAAAGCCTTTCTTACTCATGATTACTGAGCTGCTCTGTGGGAAGGTAATTTATGGAAGCTCACAGATCAGTGTGGCCACACTGCAGTGCCTTTGCTGAGAGAATACATGTCAGAGTAGGATATTCTAAGGAAAAGGAAATTAATCAGCAACCCGCTCACCTGGTATTTTTCCAAAGCAAAACTCTTTGGAGGCTCAGAGAGATCTCTGCACACTTAAATGTAATTACCATGAAAAAATCTTTAGCAGTTGAATGGTGTTGTTCTTGCAAACTGACCTATGAAACTTCCCAGTTCCCTGCGGCCATGTCACTGAGTCACTGCCATGACATTTGCAGCAAGGGGCTGTTGTGGGAGCCTGGCACCTCACACACTATTTCCTTCTCCAAGTCATTACACAGATTAACAGATTGAAGCAGTTCCTTACTGAATAACACATCTGATCCTATAGGAACTTCTAACTTGTGGCAGCCAAGAAGAAGTTCAAGAAGTGTTTTTAATCCCCTCTCCCAGATTTACCAGCAAAACAACACTCAGCCATTAAAGCACCACAGCACTTTCCAGCAGTGTCTGAAGAAAACAGCTTTTTATCAGACTTGTTTTCTGTACTTTGTACAAACAGTACAGAGTGACAAAGCGCCTTTGCATTGCACAAACACTGAGAGAGCAAAAAGAAAATGAAAACAAGGCGTTAAACAAAGAAAGGATGTGTACAATGGAACAGGCACCAAGCTACTTTTTTTTGGTTTGTTTTTCTTTTTCTGCTAAAAATAGAACACAATGCTTACTTTTGTGTAGAGATTACTCACTAAAGGCTGAATAAACCAGCCAATAAGAATATCAACATCATTAAAGCTCTTTCTAATTTTCAGTTCTTTATGTAGATTCACCCTTTCCTGACATTACTTACTTCAGAAACTAAGTTCCTCTGCATGAGAAAAAAAAAAAAATCCAACAGAAGTTCTTTAAAGTGGACATTGTAAGGGAGAAGTGATCAGACTTAGTCCTATGGCAGTTAAAAGTGTCCTGAAATTACAAATTTTATCTACCAAACCTTCTGTAACTTTGAAGCTTTTAAAATTCCAGCTCTTGTACAAGGCTGAATAGATTTCTTCAATAATGTTTCCCAGCAGTGAAACATAACATTGCCTGTCCATTGGAATGAACAACAATTAGCAACAAACAGAGAAAAGTGCACATCCAATGCAGGTCAGTTTAGGAGTTTTCTTCCAGAACTGCTACACACTTAAACAAATTAAATATGCTGTTTTATCATGTCTTGTCATTACACTGAAATTAAACATTGAATAAGCTATTTTACCTAAAAACAAAGTCATCAAAAATATTACAACTAAAATAAAAACATGCTGTTTTGCCTTTTCAGAGGAAAAAAAAAAGAAGTATGATGTGGTCTAACAGTTTTAAGCAGTCACCCAGATCTCTAAGCAGTTATAGCCCTGAACAAAATGTTATTTTAGTGTAATGATGCTTGCTCAGCAATGACTGGCACATTAGTAGAAATGCTCTGCAGAGATAAGAGCCTCTGAATGCCCCTGTCTGTGCACGACTCCATGGTCAAGTGTAACACCTGTACTGTGACCTTGCAATCCTTGTGCATTGCAAGGGCCTGCAGCAATCAGATCCCCATTCCTGTGTAACTGTTCTTGTTCACATAGAGGGACTCAGAGGCACATCTAGACCATCTCAGACTTTGAAAGAGATCACTCTTTTGGCCCAAAATGTACAGCTTAGGCCCACTGGAACAAGCAACAATTTTACACAGGAGGAGTTCCAAGCTCACCCATTTACTGTTTGACAAACTGTGTTGCACTAGTAACTGCTCCAGATTTTCAATTCCTTCCTATTATGGCTGTGGTCACAAATTTCATTTCAGAGGCACTGAGATCATGGAGTGAACTCACTAGAGGAAAGAAAGATCAGCAAAACTTCGAAACCAGATTTCGACTCTATACAGACAGAGCTGGAGGCAACTGCCAGATTTTTGTTAATCAGCTGGAGACTCTTGACAAATGCCATTTCAATGCCTCTCTTCCTCTGGTGATGATAGTCCATGGCTGGTCGGTATGAGCTCACACTTTATTTTTAATTTTTGCTACATCTGATTTGATATACTTTCCTTCTCATTATGCTACAGAAGCAACTTCAGAAATAAGGTCGTGATACAAAGACGATAGATTTCACTGGTACCTATCATGGCTAGAAAAAATACAAAGTGCATATTCCTGACAGATTCTGAAGGAATGGTCTACAAGCAATTTTTCACATGAGACTCCCATGCCAAGGATTAAATTCAGCCCTGGTTTAAAGCCAGCAGAGCTTGAACAAGTAGCTGAATTAATGTGCTATGCCCTGGAGAGCAGAACATCAGTATCATTTCTCTGATATGCTCACTGGCAGATATTTACAGACTTCTTGAAAAGTGGCCACAATATCCCCATATCTTTCTCACAGATACACCTTTAAAAAGAACTTCTCCACAAGCCCCTTCTGTTGGAAGCAAAGCCTTCAACATCAATTATCACTGAACTGCTGCCAGCTAAACTGTAAAAAACCAATTCACCACAAAAAATCTTTCTCAAAAGCATGCCAATAGTAAGAGTGACAATTCATCGGCTTCTCAGTTGGAAAAGAAACAAAAGAAAAGGCAGGATAAGAAAAAAAGTAATTTTAACAGATCCTTAAATGCTCATAGCACCAATGCAATCACCTAAGGTGGCACAATGGATCTTTCTTGCACATCTGCAAATATGCAGAGGAACTTTGAACGCCCCCTGTGATGCACGTAACTCCCTTAACAAATGAGACAGATACATTTAACTCCCTTAGTAAAAAAAATTAAACTCCCTTGCAAAAAAAATTAGATTAGTTCAAAACCTACATCCTCCTCAAACCAAGGGCCTGAAGATGCTGCCAGTGAAATTCATCATTCACATTAACTTAATTTGCAGAGGTGTTGGATCCTTAGAGGAGTGTGTGTGGAAACCCAGACCTGAGACTCCCAAATTCTAATACATTAGAAGAGATAAGGTTATTTTATCAATTGAGGAAATAGAATAACAATTAAATCTGATAGATTAAATAATAATTCTAGTCCATAAAATCAGAAACATGCTTTGATGCAAGAAAATTGTAACCAGCTATTCAAAAAGGAATGACTCAAAACAAGCAGCTCTCCATATGGAATGGCTAGAGATGACAAATGCTTGCTGGTCTGCAATCCTCCAGCTTCCCTTCTCCAATTTTTTTAGCTTATACTTAAAGGGATAGCTGCTCTTGAATGAAATCAGACATTTCCTGGGCATTTATGTCTGTCTTTTAACCAGTATTTTTAACCAGTACCTATTAACCAGTTATCTCTGGATGAGTTAAAGTATTTGGGGACATAATTTTCACTTATATGAGATCCTATTAAAAAACACACACTATTATACCCTTATTATATTACTCCTTTTTTTTTTTGGTCCAACAAAACCTACAGATTCTCAGCACTGAAGCAGGCTGGGGCTCCTAAACTCTAGTTATCAGCATTAATCTCTCCCTGTTCATACTGTGTTTTTTGTTTCATGTTTTTCACAAGAAATATTTGGCAGAGACTGCTTTCCCATAACAATGGCTTTCTTATTGTTTGGGGTTTTTTCCCAACTGTAACAGGTGGATGGGATATTGGAAAGCTGGATTTGGAAAATGGCAGCAGCTCTGAAGTCCCACCCTGAGCCGATGAACGTGATCATTGCAGACTGGCTGACCCTGGCTCACCAGCACTATCCCATTGCCGTGCGGAACACGCGCACCACGGGACACGAGATCGCGCGCTTCCTGCAGTGGCTGGAGGTGAGAACGCCGCACCAACACGTTCCCTGGAAAAGATGTTTGGTTTTACACTTCCACAACCTTTCTGAAGCACTGTGCTTGCTAATGCTTTCTTTTCCATCACTCACATTTCTCTAATGAAGTGCATGTTTTTCTTCCATAAACTTTCATATGACTCTGTGAAACTCTCATCATGCAGGAGGTCAAAGCAAGTGGTCTTGTTTATGAAAATATTTTTATATTTCTTTAGAGGTGAGATCGTTTCCTGCTACTTTGACTTTTCCATAGCATGTGTGTGGGCAGCTGACACTGTTCCATATGTAGAAAACAGGCAGACATCACCATTTGCAAGACATAAGTACAGGAAAATGAGTTTGTTATCTGTGCTCACTTCTGCTTTTAATGCAGAATTCAATCCCGACACTGTGTCTGATTTTTGCTGCAGTTTCCCAAAGATTAGGACAAAATAATGGCTTAGAGATCCAGAATGTAAAGGGAGACTTTCAAGAGGACAGACATGCTTCACAAAGCCGATGGCATGGAGGCAGCAGTGAGTACAGAGCCACACTAATGCAGTGACTATTTACCAAAACTCCTGCTAATGGCAGCAGGGCCATGGCTGGACTGAAAAGGCTGCAGCAGAGTCTGCACAGGATCACCAGTCTCCAGCACAATTTAAGAAAAGGCAGAAAGCAAACAGTAGACTGAGAATCACTCATACAAGTCAGGAACTCTAAGCAACTCTTATTGTATCAATCTCTAACATTAAGTACTTAATTTGAAATGAAATTATGCTTCTATACCTGACAATGAATTTTAGAGTACATTACTTTAAATATGGTGAGGCCTGAGGTGGAAGAGAAATTTACTGTAAGGCTGAAAGGTTTGGAGCAAATACCATTAAAGGCCTAAGCAGGAACAGCAGGGCTAAAAGGAGCTGTCAGATACCACACCCAGCTAGGGACAAGAGGAACAAAAGAGGAAGCAGCAAAGTCAGAGTCCCTATTTTTCATTGTGATATTAGAAGAAATTTCAGCTCTTGGTCAAATATAGTTTAACGTGCTGGAGCCTAAAGTAATTTTTTGAAGCTGTTTAATTATTGAATTAATCAAATGGTGGACTTTGATCAGTTCCCAGGAGGACATACCACATTGTCAACAATAAAGACATTCAGTGATTTCCCAGTGTCAACGAACAAACCAAGGCTTGAATAAATTACTCCTTGCTCCAGTATTGTAGGTGGTTACTCTTTTGCTGTGATGTGTTCCAGAATTTAAATATACCATAAATTTTCACAGCATTGAGTGTCTCCAACCAGTAAATGTTCCTCACATTGAGAAGCACCCCTCCAGAGTTTAACAGTTAAACCCCCTTCATTCCAATTCCCACCATTATTTTTCTGCTATGCTTCTGTCTGCTTACAGGCAGATAATTATTTCAAAGATTCTCAATGGGCGTAACAAAACCTGCAGTGCCACACAACATTTTAATAAAGAATAAGGAACAAACAATAAGTAAATATTAGTGCTCTTATTTCAAGTATAGGGCATGATCAGTAACAGCCTCAATAGCATCCATTTCAGTATCATCTGACAAGAAAATTGGTCAGATCTTGTGATTTCTAAGAGCTGTCTCTCTCACACAAGAAGTCTGCCAAGTTTCACTTCATCTTCAGAAGAGATTGCTATTGAGACTGCACAGCCACTCCACTGAGAGAGGCAACATTCACAAAGAAATTGAAAGTGAGGTTTGCCTTTCCTGCAAGCAAAATATGCCACATTTTTCTTTACAAGTCAGATAAACTTTAAACCTTGCAGCTCAGGTGAAATGCTCAAGATGTACCATTGATTGGGTAGAAAGAAGGCCAATTCTGCTTCAATAGGTTTGTTACAAATCAGACACACATCTTTGTACAAGGAATATCACTGCTGTATCATTTAACATGCCTGATTAATATTTTGATCCCTTTAGTTTGACTTGTGATGGTATCTCAGGCAAAAAAAAAAAAAAAAGACACTTTTGTAGGGGATTATTTTACCCTGAAGTTAAAGAAGAAATATCCATTTTATAATAATAGGAAAGCCAAATGCTGCTGACAAAAGGCAGTGAACACCTGCATCAAATGACTGACAACAAACAAGAAAAATTCCACTGTGTTGATGGTTTTCCTGTGCATAGAAGATAAGAGGCAGTGCCCAAATGTGTGGCATTTTCCTGCTGCATGAAAAAGAATCAAGGAATAACATTCCAACAGGAATTTACTGAATTATTCATGCACCTCGTTTGACCACCATCAACATACAAATTCCTTGTGCTATAATTCCCAGTATTCCTAACATGTAATAGATATTTCACTGTTTACTTTTCACATTTCTTCATCTAAATCAAGGTGCCACTATCTTCCAGGAATCTGTTCAATTTTCCAGAAGCAATGCTCATCTAATTGGATACAGCCTGGGAGCTCATGTTTCAGGATTTGCTGGAAGTTTTATCAATGGTACAAAAAAGATTGGAAGAATTACAGGTAAAAGACCTTTAAAAAAACTAACAGTCAACTGAATCAAGTTATGAAGATATTTGACATATCAATGTCATATTGACCATTAGCTGCTGAATAGCAATATTCAGCAGAGTTTAGAAGTTTCATCTCATTGGTTTAGAAATTAGATTTAGAAACTTAATGAAAATATTTTTGAAGATTTGGTCTCATAGCATTTCTATCTTTGATCTTTCCTACCTCAGTCTGATTATGGCATACAGAATACACAAGCATGGGGACTAGAAATAATAAACCAAAGCCTCAAGCTGCTGGTTGCTTAAATTTGTCTCTTATCCATTCCCAGTAACACCTTAAACTAAATGTTAGCCACTAATCCTGGATCTTTGGCCACTGTCTTGACCCAAAGTCATTCAAATACTGCTCATTATTAGTGAGTAACTTAAAAAATATATTAAGGAAATTGTCTGACTGTGCTTGAGCTTTCAATTGTGGGACAGTGCCCATATAGTGAATTCAAAACAGTTCTTGTGTGGCAAAAATGAGAATTCTGGATTACATTTTACAACAAGCATATCATCAGAGTACCCCTAGTAGATGCTTAAAGTAAACAAAGTTAACCCTAAAACTTGATTACCTAGCGACATTCTGAACCTTCTGTAATGTTTTGTAACTGTACTAATTATGAGTGTAATGAAAATACATTTATACATATATAAATACATATATACATATATATACACATATATATTTATATCTATATGTATACAGTGTATTGATACACTATATACAGTACCTCATCTAATACACAGTGACAGCTTAAAAAACCCAAACAAAATGAAAGCAGAAGTGCATTTTACACAAGACCCACATCAACTAAGTTATCAGAAAAGACATTTTACTTGCTGCCTGTGTTACTAGTCTTGTCTGGTTATATCTATGCAACTATATATTATTCCACAATAGCAACTGAAGAATATAAAATTTAGAAGCTTGTCCTCAAAGCTGAGTGCAGCTTTAAACTAAGCACAAAGTTCTCTTCCTGAATCAATTCCCAACCAAGAAGACCACCATGCAAAAAGTCCAGAAAACAAAAATCAGCAAGACTCCCTAAGTGGAGTATTATTTCTCTGAATACTGTAATAATCTGCCTGCCTTGAAGATTTTTTAAGCTGAAGAATTATTATAAATAAAATCTAGCAGGCATACAGGGCTTTTAAACAATAATTGGAGCTTTATAAGGTTTTAGGTCCCACATGTGGGCTAGAAGTCAATCTTGCTGCAGGACTGGTGTCTTCCAAAGGACCTCTGAAACACACAACCTCTAGAATTTGAAAGAACAAAATTATGTCAAGGTCCCTCAAGTGCCACCGGCAGCAGCACAGTTTGTCTCTGACAAACACGTCTGTCTCTGGGCTGTGTCCTTGAGCAGGTCCCAGTTAGTGTTTGTTCCAGTGCCTGTGTTTGCTTTAGGTGTAACCCTCTGTGGAACAAGTGTTGTTATTGTTTCCATCAGGGAAAGACCTTGTAAAGCACCAGGTGCTGCCTGTTTTCAGACATTTATCCCAGACTTACAGCAGTAGAATATTCCTTGTGCACTATATGACAATGGGATTATTTGCATTTGTTGCAGGCCTTGACCCTGCTGGGCCCCTGTTTGAGGGAATGTCACCCACAGACCGATTATCTCCAGATGATGCAAACTTTGTGGATGCAATTCATACCTTCACCAAACAGCACATGGGCCTCAGTGTTGGCATCAAGCAGCCAGTGGCTCATTTTGACTTTTACCCCAATGGAGGCACCTTCCAGCCTGGCTGTCACATCCTGCACGTGTACAACCACATTGCACAGCTGGGGATTGCTGGTAAGCACCAATGGCACCCGGTGGGAGCCACCAGGGCAGCTGGACTGAGCCTGTCTGGTGCTCTTAAACAGCATCTAAGGATTATCATTATCACCCTTATATGCAAGGTATTTTCTGTTTAGAGATTAATTATCTGATTTTTACGTGTCATGAGTTCATATTGGTTTTACTGACTCCAGCAAGGAATTGAGCTGCCTAGCACTCCTGAAAATGAGGCCATGAGCATCCTGCTGTCAAGCACCTCTGAATAATTTAATGGCATTTGTTTCAACAGTAGAAGAGATGAGACAATTTATTCTAATTAAGCCAGATTGTCTAGTGTGCCATTAATTATATCAAATCAAATGAAACACAGGTCTGTACTACTCACCTCCATAGCTCACCTTTTCTAACTCCACGTCCTTCGGTGGCACAGATGATGCTCTCTCCAGGACCTGAGTGCCAGTGTTCCAGGCTAGCTTTTATTTATAGAAGCTTGTTATCGATGTACCTAAACATAAACCTATAGAGAAACTGATGCAAGATACTGAAAAAGGTCCCGGTGTGCAGTGACAACCAAAAGTGCTGGCTGAAAACCCTCCAAGAGCCCTGCTCACCCAGCAATGACACTGCAGAAGCACTTCTCAATCATCCTCATGCAATGCCTAAATCTGGGCATTACTTGTTAGAAGATAAATCATGACAAACGTGAAACCAAGCATCAGCTCAAAGCTAATCAACACAGACATAAAACATCCTATTTGCACAAAATAATTTTTGCAATTTGATAACATTTTAAGAATATACTTCTCATAATGCAGGCCTATTTAATACTTTTATTGAGTTTAATAAAATTTTTCCTCCTTTTTTCCAAGCAGCAACTGCAAGAAAAGTTCAATTCAACATAGGTGTCAGTCTAATAGGGACAAAATATTGCTGCCTAAGCATCCAAATCCAATAGTGTTCAGCCATTCCAAATGAGACTGCTGTCTTTAATGTGGCATGATCTGAAAGACTGCACATCAACTCAGGCTGTATTGACAAAAACAACCAGAACACTGAAATCAAGGTTCATATTTACAGTCTGATACAATCAGGGCTAGAGAAGTTTAAGAGAAAATTATTTATTATCATGCAAGTTCAGCCATTTTATTTTTGAATGATCTTAAAAACTGTGTATGATTTCTAAGGCAAAACCATGATGCAAAGGGTAAGTGTGTGTGGGGGGAAACAATATCATATGTTTATAGTTTATAGTTGGCTACAGTACTACTCTGCAGTTGAAATGGTAAACAAAAAAAACCAAGGGCATGTAAAATTTTGTTGCATTTTTTTCAGGCATCACTCAAACTGTGAAATGTGCCCATGAGAGGTCAGTTCACTTGTTCATCGACTCTCTGCTGCACAAGGACAAGCAAAGCACAGCGTACTGGTGCAACGACATCAACACCTTCAACAAAGGGCTGTGCCTCAGCTGCAAGAAGAACCGCTGTAACACCCTGGGCTACAACATCAGGGAGGAAAGGCTGCCCAAAAGCAGACGACTCTTTCTGAAAACAAGAGCGCATATGCCCTTCAAAGGTTTGTGGGAATACTTTTTAGTGTCCAGATTGATCACAAAGTAGAAGTCTGAGCCTAAGCTTTGTGATCCTATATACTCATTCATTAAAGCTTATAAAATCTGTGAGAATAATCAATTTGCTGAGACAACTGAGAGTCCCAGTAGGCTATCTTGATGCCCTTTCATCCAGACCCTGGCTCTCATATTTCTGTGGGAAAAAGCATACTGCCTGCTAGCCCCAGGCGAGCTGTGGAGCTGAGGGCTCGCAGATGCCCAGGGTCCTGATCTGCAGGATTTTCCTACAACTGGACTGTGCAGGTTTATTCTAACATATGCAGGCACACGGCCAAGCCAAAAAAAGCTGCATAATTACTCTGGGAGGCCTATAAACGTTCTGCGTTTGCCCAAATTTTATCCGCAATTAGACTATGAAATGACATATAAATTACTACTTTCCAAACAATGGACAGAGAACAGAATAGCATGGACTTTTACGTGGCTGAACTGTAGCACTAAAACTAAGACTGGCACTCTGGCTTTAGCTCTACCACGTTACTTTACCGAGTCAGTGTGCATTTTTGGCTGTACGATCAGACAGAGGGGCCATGGCCTGCCAGGGGGCGCAGGGCCTTCCTACCATTCTCCGTTGCACTCAGCCGCCAGAGCCTACTGCTGCTGTTGAGCAGACGTTCCCTCGCCACTGGAAAGGTTGACGTACTTTTAAAAGTGGGAACAAGCAGGACGATGTGGGACAGTCCTTTCCTGAGGGGCTGTGGGTACAGGGGCGACAGCGTCCCGCCGGCCGGCTCTGCCCCTCACCACCTCCTTCCCCGGCTGCCATGAGGCGTGTGGGGAGCAGCCGGGCGGGCGCGGGCCGAGGCACAGGGCACACACACGGAGGAGGCTCCGCTCCGGCTGAGGCGCTGCCTGTCCCCGGCACAGCCTCGCCACAGCCCGCCACACTCTCTCCACAGCCCCGGCACAGCGCGGCCACGGCAGTCCCGCACCCCCGCAGCTGCTGCCGGGCTGTGTCGGGCCGGAGCCTCCCTCCTGCCGCAGGGCTCTGCCCCCGCCTGCCCCTCGCCCTGCGCCCTGGGCTTGGGGAGCGCTTCCCATGTTCGTGCGCCCGGGCAGCAACAGTGAAGGGATGAGGTGAAAGGCTTTAAAAGGCCGCTTGCATTATATAGCTGGTCTCCCCACAGTGCCCGGTTACTCGGATGCATTATCATAGATTCAAAACAAAAAAAAACAAAACAAAACAAAAAAAAGCCCCTCCCCCCCCCCAAAAAAAAACCACAAAACCAAACCAAAAATTCAGGTACTTTTAAAATAATGTTGGAAGTCTTCCACTAGCACAGCTGTGAAATATTCAGTGATGACTCCAGAGGGATCTGCAGAGCCCTGAATGATACTCAGAGCAGCTGAACTTGCTGAATTTCTTCTAAATACTGTTTAAAATGGCTCAGTAAGATACTTGGAGTAGATTTTAAAACTCCAGAGGCTGTGTCTAGTTTCTGAAGTTATCTTGCTCCATCACAGTCAGAGCTAGGTCCTCACCAGAAGCAGAGAATGACAGGGACAGGCTCTGGGGATGCACTGCCTGCTGCTCCCACACCTGGACACAGAGATCACTGTGTTGTGTTCCTCTCTGGGTATGGAGCTGGTTTCAGTTTGGGGAAAATATCTCTGTCCTATTGGCTTAGATTGCAATTAAACATGTTGCATTTTTATGCTTAGAACTGGTTTTGCATAAAAACCCATCCTTGGCACATATGGGGATAAAGTACCCCAGACAATGATCTCCTTTCACAAAAGTTCCCCAACAAAGCAGCAACTGTGGGAAGATGCTTACAAAGTCATCTTTGTAATGCTTTAAAAAAAAAAAAAAAATTGAAGATCATGTGAGAAGCACAAATAGAAGAAATTTGGGAAACTCAACATTACGCATCACAATCCTCTGTGTCTTAACAAAATCTAACATTTAATTTTCAAGCTAATGACATATTCTGGAGCATACATCAGTCCAGCTCAAAGAAAACCCCCAGTCTGTTTCATGGAAATTAACATTTATAATAAAGCTGTGATGGGACTCTGAGTTTTTATATGATTTTTCCTTAAAGTAAGCACCATAATCACAGCAAAACCTTAGGTTGTGTCTGATCATATACTGAAAAATCAGTTTTTAGCGAGAAAACCCAGAGAAAGACAGATTAGTTATAAAGTGATCTGTAAACAACCCTCTCTGCCTTGGTCTTCATCAGGTTTGTGGCACAGAATCAGCCATTTTGTTTTCTACTGAGGGATACATTTTCAAAAGAAAATACATTGTTCACTAACACAACAACTATAAAATAATGAAAGGATATAGCTGTTCCAGCAAATACTTTTAGCTGCACAAAAAACCCCTATCTGTGCATGTGCATGAAAATATGATTCCATTAGTGGTGTGGGGAGCCATTCTCAGATGTAGTGAAGACTGAAGTGAGTAGAGAGTCTCCACTCAAAAACTAGCATGCAATAATGTTCCTTCATATCAAAATCTATCAGTTTTGTCTAGAAAGTTGCTGGAAGAATGACCAGATAGAAGAGTTCTGGACATTCAAATGTAGCTGACAGTATCTGTATGCACATACTTGAAATCTATGTTGTTGGGGTTTTCTTTTTCATAATTTTAAAAATATCAAACTGATGACTTCTTAGGCATTTTTTATGCTAACGATACTCAGTTCAGACTTTCCTAAACAGTGTTCTAGAAACTCCCCAGACCTTGAAGCATTAATGACATTGTTAACAGATGTGTGTAAAGCACAACATATCATTAGGCAGTCAAGGAAAGTTTGTGAGTCATCTGTTTTGCAGGGCAATTTTCCAGTTGATCAGAGTAACAGCCTGACCACATTCATAAGGTCTTTGATCTGTATCATACATCTCTAGTCATGCCCAGTCACAAGGATTTGCCTGGTCACTAGATAGAGGACTTGCCAGAAATTCTGACAACTAAACTCCAGAAAAGCTGAAATATTTCCCATGGAGGAATGTTTTATCCCAAAAAGAAACTCAACACTGATTACCTTTTTCTCCATCCTTTAAATAAAGCAACAGGACCACAAATGCTAACAGATTACATAGCACAGCACAGCAACAACCAGGAAAAATGACAATGTTTTAATTTCAACAAATTAGGTTGAAAAGTAAAATTAAATAACCATCAATTTTCTGCTCTGAAAGGCAAAATTCTTTTGCCTAAGAAAACTATTGATTATTTGACCATTAATTTTTCCACTTTTTGCCAATTCTTCCTTCCTACAGTGTATCATTATCAGTTCAAGATCCACATCATCAATGAAATCCAAGGCAAGCCCATAGACCCAGCTTTCACCATGTCTCTGACAGGGACTAAGGCAGATGCTAAAAACCTGCACATCCCACTGTGAGTATTGTACCCCATGCAATTGTGCATGTGACAATTTGTAATATACCACATTGATAATCATGCTATGAGGGAAATGGTTTAGTGCAGCTAAGTGAACATGAACTGGAAATTGTACTCCCTTCACTCATTCTCCCTGAAAGTCACAAGTTCTTACAATGATGATGCAGTTTGTGCAGAAAAAAATTGTTGGAATACAAACAGTAAATTTGGAAATTTTTCTGTCCACTTACTTTGGTCCATCCCATGGCTAAGACAGGGAGGTATAATCAATTAAAACACAAATGAAAAAATCAGCTGTAATTAAGATAAAGAATTTTGGATATTTATCATGATGAACACTATTTATATTAATGAAAGCAAAGGCAAGAGTGTGTGCATGTGCATTTGCTCTAGCAGGCAGAAGTTGTAACATAGATGCTATTATGGGACACCTTTTGCTGTCAGAAACCACTACTGCTTTGTCAGCTGTTCAAGCTTCTGCCACTTCTGCTTCTTTCCTACCATGTTGTCATATTTCATCACTTTTTTGCACCTGGAGGAAGAACATCCTTGAGACATTAAGAAGCAAACATAGTTATTTCTCTGGTTTTCACAGGAAAAAAAATGCTGTTTTGTTACTTTAATTCATAATAATTAAGACAACATTATTCTCATCTTGTTTTCCGTAGAGTTGAAAGTATTACTGGGAATAAAACCTACTCATTTCTCATCACCCTGGACAATGATATTGGTGACATCATAATGATCAAGTTCAAATGGGAATTACCTCCACTTTGGGGAAATATCTGGGACACATTTCAAACCATAATACCATGGACAAAAGGCACTCGTCGACCAGGACTTATAGTGAAGGAAATAAGAGTGAAAGCAGGGGAAACACAGCAAAAGTAAGTGTAATGAGAGCACTCAGTAACTCCACAGGTGTTTGGCACCCAGGTTATCCCAGTTCAAACACAAGCAGCCAAGCCTCAGCAGTCACACCAATGAATGTAATTACCTCACTCCATAAGGACCATATGAAATTTCAATGAAACAAGATACTGTGCAAGATAAATAATGATTTCAACATTAACATCGTGAATATTCAGATTCCTACTTACAAAAAAAATATGCAAAATCTGAATTATTTGACTTTCAATACTTACTTCCAAGAGAAACTCAGCTTCACCATTCTTGAAAATACTCATTAGAAGGATCATGTGCTGTACTACACAGTCCTCTGATTATTTTTAGTGTTCTTCTTTCCCCTGTTTATTGCTTTGAAACTGGATCACCACATCTGAGCAGCCTTGTTCTCTACATACAGAAATGCTAACACATTTGAAACTGCCTACTCATGCAGAGAAATTTCAGCCAGAAGATAGAATTAAAAAATCATAATAATTCTCACTGCTTTAATCCTTGGAGGAATTTTAATTGTGCAGTTTAATTAAGGTTAATGAGAAAAGCACCTTACCTTTAACTGAGGCTCAGTCCTAGAAAGCAATTTTTCCTGGGTACATTCCCTTTCTTACCACCACAACTGGTGCAGACTTCCTGCAGAACAGCTCTTACTGGCAGAGCTGCATCTCCTTAATATTGACACAAAAAACAAATTAGACAATTGAAAGAGGCATTTCATAAGACAATCTGTGTGTGCTGGGGGGCAGAGGAAGGATCATATTCTCCTAGGTTGTATCCTCCTAAAAATGTATTTTTGAGGTGTTTTCCTAACCTGCACTTGGCATGTGCTCCTGCCATAAAAATCAAAGGAATTTCTCAACATTTCCTGCTATTTTAAAAGCCACGACCCAAAATCAGTATTGAAAGCAAATTAAAGCAAAGCATACATTGCAAACTAGGGAGCTCTGTTTAGGTGCAGGTTCCTGTAATTTGAAATAAAAGGTATGAAGGTGAGAAGTCATTTTCCTGTCCAGGAAGGTCTTATCCAATGCAGCTGTGCCAGTAACCTGGCACAAGCTAATTACTGCTGATGTACTACTTTCCTTATCTAGGAAATTATTAAGTGAGGGGGGCTGTTATACTGACAAAAAATAATGCTGGTAGCTTCAGGTATCTAATGCTCCTTAGAAGCTTTTTTTGCTGCAAGTGGAAGCAGTTTGCCAAGCTTTTAGTGAACACTGATTATGTGCTGGGTTTTGTTCTTTGCAATCTGGGCAGTGACATTTAGTTATCACTGAAATACTGCATTAATGTTTAGGGGAGGAATGAAAGATTATTAGGTGGTTCTAAAAGGAGAAACAAAGAACACTCAAGGAAAAGTATTTTCTTCAGAGAAAAAAGGGTATGTAGAGTTCTGCCTTCCTCAGAATACCAAACATTGTGTACTGCAGAATTAGCAACTTTGGAAATCAAATAATTAGAAAAGGTCGTAAACATGAAATTTTGATTTCTCTTGTGTTTTCTCAAGCATTTGAACAACTGACAATATTTTATTGTTATACACATATCCGTATCCCTATGTTAGAGATAGTAACACGTAGTATCTCTACCTCTAGATGTTTGTGATCTTTGTACATGATGAAAGTTCCTATGTGGCATTTAATGGCAAAGACGTGTAGAGATGTAACAGCATCAACTTAAAAAGCAGATAACAAAGACCATTATGAGCAATAAAATACCCCGTTCCAACATTTGCTTTCAAATAGTTGTGTAGCATATGCAGCTGCTGATGTTAGCATCCTACATAGCTGGTTTTTAGCAACCTCCCAGCTAAACAGCAGCATTCCAGCAGCCCGGAGAGGGCAAGCATGCTGGGAACAGTGGGCTGGAGCAATGCCCCCTGACACCAGGAACGCCCTGTGCCTGTGAGGGGGTGCTGTGCCAACACCCACAGTGACACAGCGAGACACAGCACAATGCCCTCAGTGCCCAGGGGCTGCCTGCTGCTCTGCTCTCTGTCCCTGTGCTCTGGCAGGCAGATACAACTCTTTCCTCACAAGCCTATAAAACAGAAAGCTGCCCTCCTGTAAACGACAGGCTAAAGAACTGCCTAAAGAATGGGAAACTCTAATGTTAAACTTTCTAACCAACATTGTACTCGCATGCTGTCTTTTCTTTCCAGATACACATTTTGCCCCCAAAGCACTGACAATATTCACCTTCATCCATCCCAAGAGAAGATATTTGTGAGCTGTGAAGATCTCTTCCAGACCCAAAACAGAAAATGAGCAAGACAAGAAGGCAACTTCTCACCAAAATATTCAAAATATGATACATCTAGTAAAATGTTCTAAAAATTAACAGTCAAATATCCTAGCAGTTTCAGAGATGGTAAAAAATACATTAAGATATTTAGTTTTTGTCATCTGAGTGAACTGAAATATGCTCTTTGCTCATCTAGGAGCATACTCTGAAAATCATCAGTGAGCAGCTTCATCAAGGCAACTGTCAATTTTCAACTGTTTAAAATCTGAAAAAAACATCTGCTCACCAGAAATAAAAATATTATTTGACAAAATCATCATCATAAGCCTTTGAAAAACTTAATTTTGTTGGATATAAGGGGAAAAAAGGAATTAATTTCATGCTAAATACATTGAAGTATTAATAGCTACGACTATCAGTTAAAACCTTGCTAAATGATTTCCTAATGAAGGGAGAATTAAATAGATCATAAAAGAAAATATGACCAAATAGATATAAAAACAGAAAATGTTTAAGCTGTAATAACCATATGAAAACCCCAATAATACTATCATCTAAAAATTCTATAATAAACCTTATTCTCTGAAAATGCTTTGCTATTTAACTATTTTAATTAAAGAACTGATTTAAATTACTAGCAATTTAATTATTTGAATGATGCTTAGTGTTCTACACAAAATTACAGCACAACTAAGTTCAGTTAATTTTTTGCATTTAAATCATATTTAGCCATTCAGGTAAGGTCTGAGATTTTTAGATTCTAAATCTCTGTATACCAGATTTTGGCATGACTTGAAACTGCCAGAATAAATTAAAATGGCTAAACCTTCAAACAATTTCAGAGCATAAAAACAAACTTTATAAGGTCAAACATATACAATTCCCTTGTTTCCTCTGTCAGAATATAAACAACGGAAAGGAACATTATTGTCTCAGATTGCTTTTATTCTATGGTTTGTGCATACTGAAACAGAAATCAATGTATATGTATTCATTTGTCACTTTAATGCTGAGCACAAGATTAATTAAAAATTAAGGTTTCTTGAACTCTGAATTTTGAATGTAATTTGTGTAAAATGTTCTCTAAGTGGTAAAAAAATGTGCAAGAAAGTGCTAAGACTTGAAGCAAAGCATATTTTTTAATACCAAGATATTGCAGGGAATTTTTAATCAAAATATCCAGATGTTATCAGGAATAAAGTGGGATTTATTTAGATTGCCCGACAAATGAAGAAGCTGAGCAGATCCTGCACGCAGTGAACAGTGATCAGATCTGGAATGCAGGTATCTCTGCCAACCCTTCAGAATATTAACTCCTTTTACAAGCTGTTTTCAAGAACTACCATCCCTTTAAACAAACAGGAATACTCAGTCAGAAAGGCTCACAAACTACAACAGGAACTGAAGCATACTTAGATCTCAAATGAGAGTTGTTGTCCATCCTGAGGTGTACATGTCAGAAGCTGTTCCAATATTTAAAATGGCTCCTAGGAGTAGCATCATGATTAGATAAATATTTATCTATTTAAATACAGATTCCATGCAAAAGGATCCTTGCTCCTCAGTGAAAACAAAGGTTTGTGCTTTGAAAGCTTCTATTCAATGAAGCAAACTGGTTTTTTGAACACAAAAGTATTTCCACCTTCTGTGTCAAAAATTACAATTCAAGTGATTAATTTCATGCTTCAGGTTTCTACCTTGAATATTTAAATTTTGCATCATAATTACTTTATGAGAGCTCTGCAATACATTCTGTGTTTGTGTAAGAATCAATTGCTGAAGTGCAATAGCTGAGTCAAATCAGGAACGTACACAGAAGGAAACTTGAGCCCAAAGTATGTGAGAACATTGGGTAAGCACCAAGGCCTTTTGTTTGGATACTTTTTTACATTTGCAGTAGCTATAATCCACTGGAGGGACTCAATTGCTGGAGACCCAGTCAGAGCATTTTTAGGGGCATGAAGTTACAATGAACCACGTCCTGCAGAATGACAGGCAAGGAACAAATGACAATGTGGCCATTTTAGTGTTCCAAACCACAATGGAAAATGAGAGAGAGAAGAATGAGAAAATGGTAAACAGAGAGAGAAGTATGTGTGGCTAACTCAAATTAGGCACCTCTCTAGATTGTTTCTAGAATTGAATTGTTGCTTCTGCAAAAAGCTACTAAAGACCTGCCACTTACTTTTGTTTTAGGGTTTCCTTTTTTCATAAAATTCTTGTCTATTTAGAGAATTTAGTACTGTCACTGAAATTGCATTTCCATCAGTTATCACCAACTTTCTAAGCTATGAATTCTGTAAGCTTTCTGAACCAAATCCCACCCCTACTCCTCAAAAAAAGCTTTTTTCAGAAGAAGTTGAAGGATGACAAAGCAAGAGACAAAGGCTAAAAAGAATTGGGCTGTACTCCAACAGTACAGAAACTACACTCTTAGAAACATTTCAGAAATCAAAATTGGCATTCTTGCAAATGACTATCACTTTCTTGGTAAGGAGGCTGATAAAGGGATCTAAACTTCAGGAGAAGCAGGCATTACTTCAGGAAAAGCAGGTGGAAGGCTGTTCAGAGGTGTCTGCATTGTGCTGGAATTCAAGAAGTGGGTGTTGGATGACTTCTAGTGTTTGTGAAAAAACATTCTCCAGTTCTCAACTAAATGAAGATGGTATATCCTCAGATAAGACAATTTGAAAGGTTTTAAAAAGCCAAGTAGGAAAATTAAAGGAACAGTCAGCATGTGAACTCTTGCAGATATGAAGATCCTTCTGATGCCATGTTTCACAAATCATACCAAACATATTCTGTCCCTGTTTTGACAGCCATTACACTAATTTCTGATATAAACATGGAATAAAGCCCAAGCTGTAATACATTCAGTCTCAGCATGCCTGAACATAAAACTGAAGTCATACCAACAATCTCAAGTGCCTAAGGTGGTGCCTTACTCTGTCTCACTGGAATTACTCCTGTCTCTCTCCATACAGCCGACTTGAGACCTTGGAAGCCACCAGGTGCTCACTCCTGTCAGAGCACACCCAGCTCAGTGACAGAATGGCTGCTGTCTTTTTCATCACTGTCTGTAATAATCAACTTCCAATGTTCAGAAACAAAAGCCTCTTCCTTCCTTTTTGTGTTTTTCCTGAAAGAAATATTGGAACACTAATTAAAAACCAAATTACATCAGTGGTATGGTATAGTTTCATTGCTTAAGAGGACTTTGATGCCTTTGTCATGCTCACACCATTCTGACTACTCCATATATGCTTCTACACAAGGTGAATATATACATTTAACAACTGAACATTACAAAATGCAAGATGAATAAATTAGTAGGTACAAATAAGATTGTCAAATATTAGCTAGAAAAAATTATGTACTGATTTGTTTCACTTATACTTTAAAATATACATGAAACTTGCATTTGAGCTGCTCAGGCATTATTCCACCCCTCTGGGCTGTGTTCTTACAGAGATTTAAACACAGCCACCACCACCTCTGTGAGGATTTACAGAAGGGCTCTGCTCCAAGGGATTTTCTTTTAATGCCCTTTGCACAGACAGTGCTATTTAGCTGCAGGGAGAAGCACTTCTATAAAAAGTCCTGGGGGTGGTGGGGGAGCCTTGTGAGGAAGGAACTGTGAGTGTGCTTTGATAACATCAAAGTTCACCCCGCTCCCTTCGGGAAACAGATGTCCAGGCAGGACTTCAACAAACAGCCTGAAGAATGGAAGACTCAGGCAGGACCTGGCTTTGAAAAGCAGTCTTATCACTTAAATCAGCCATGCAACACACACAAAAACCCAGAGGGTCAGCTTAGCAGTTTTAAAATGCCTTGCAAAAAGCACATTTGCTCCTTCTGTCTCATCCACCAATTGTGTATTATTCAGAGCATTGCATATTAATTCCAGTATTCCTCTCCAAATATATTTCCAAAGGTATCCATCAGTAACAATGATGCCAGGCTTGAACATCCCACCAGCAACTAGTTTTTCATTTTGGAGGTAAGAAAATTTTATTCCTGTGATCATGTAAGTAATTTAAAATTAATTTCATGGCTTTCCCTAAACAGGTTACACAAACACATTTATTCTTAGATATAACTGCAGGACGTTAAAATTGAGAGGGACACTTTGACAGAGATAGTACAACTACAGTTTGGCATGACAGTAGAAGCCAAAAATCAAGCAAAGTGGAATGTGTGTATTCCTCTTTGCTTTCAGGGCTCAACAAGTAAATGGATCTTCAGAAGATTATTTCATCAAGTCTATTTATTAATGCATTTCAAGTTTCAAAAAACCTTACATATCTTTGCACAATACTTTATTTTTTGCATTTTTTAGTAAAAATTTCCAAAGTGAACAAAAAAGAGACTGTATAAAACACAGTGGACATGAAATCGACAGTAGTATTTCTGTTTCATTGTCTTGAACTTCCTTTCGGCTTTACCACATCTTGACTTGCAGTGGAGAGTTCAGTGCACATTTCTGTTTTCAAAAAACATTTAACTTAGACTCAAAATAAAATAGGGCAGCATTTGTCTGCCAAAATCCTACCACAGGATAACATTACAGGCAAAAAATTTACATGTTCCAAAGTCTACCACACTCAAGAAGTTACTAAGAACTCTTGCTGAATAAAAGTCACCATTTTAGAAATGCAAACCCACTTCCAATCTTTGCACAGTCTTAAAACAAATGTATTTAAAATGACTTAAAAGCAACTACATACACTTCTAACTAGTTAAGATCATTTAGAATTATTTATATAGTCTATTGGACTTGGGGTTTCATGTACAAAATTTGTCTCTAAACCATGTACAAAAAGCTGTATTTTGAAAAAGTTACCACATACTGTACAAGTTTACAAGGAAGAGATCCCATTATATTCTGTAACATTTTTGGCCTTGCTGGCTTGCGTCACATTATGAGAATGATTGTGTAAACCTTATACTCTTAAAAAAGAAAACAAAACAAAACAAAAAAAAACAAACAAAGGAAGCCTGTCCAACCCTTAGTAAATTTTCTCCTAAGCAAAGCCAGGAAAATTATAGCCATTTGCATCTCTAATTAGCTTGGTGCTTTTGGAAAACAAGCAATAAATACATCACAAGCTTAAACATTTTGTAATGCCCCCTTTCATCTCCTGCATAGCAGTAAGCACCTTAAGACATCTTTTATTCATCTTCAAAAATGCCAATTATTTACATTCGTAATAAAATCTCTGGAATGGGACATTGTGCTGTTGAACTTCACTACTGGTATAAATGTGGGAAAATTGGTAGTCCTAACTAGTTTTAACTCTGCCACAGTAGCCAGGCAAATCACTCTACTTTAGTGGTTATCAATCAACAGTATCATGCTGAAAAGTTATCCAAACACCTGATAAATTAAAAAAGAAAATAAAAAAACTACAGCTTTTTTCTTTCCACATCCCTTAGAACATGAACTTGATTACCAAACTGTAAGAATATCTGAACAGCCCAAATAAAGTGGTTGCAATTTTTAAAACAAGTTGAATAACAGGCAAAATTTTCTAATAAAGCATGGAAATATTGGATCTAACTATTCATTATTTCACTGAATAATCAGACAAATTAAAAATATTTACGTTGAGCTACAAGGAAGACACTTACATAAAACATTTTTGAAACATTCTGACATTTGCAAAGTTTGCAGAACACCTGTTAAATCTGTCTAAGACCATCCAGGCTTGTATGCTGTATCTTAACAGCTGTTGGATAAAGATGAAATGAGTGCTTGAAACAACTTTGATAATGATAAAAAAAGTGTGATTGGATTCAAAATTGCTGTGTAAAGCATCACAGGACCCTTGACCACTACACACCATCATCCTCTGTTATCCTGAGTATGTCAATTAAACAGTAATTTCTTCATTAATAGCGGAAAAGTTTTATAATACAAAGAAACATCCATATTGCAATTCTCTTGTTTACAATTGCACACAAGTACGGGTGTACGTTAGAAATACATGTCTGCATATAACAATGTATATACATTGACAAGTAATGTCTCCAATGCTGAGGTGGTCTAGCTTCCTAGCCTTGTCTGGCAGTTGAAAAATAGATCTTTTTCTCAATTCTTGAGTAAAAGTTTTACTACAGCCATATTTGCCTGCAAGTGAAGAAAATGCAGCAATGAAGAGCACAGAAGGGGGAAAGAATCATGATATGCTAGGACTTTGTGCCACTAAATTAAAAATATTCAAGAAAAACACTTTTCTTCTTTTTGAGCTGGAAGATTCTCTCATTAAAAATTAACCACTTCCACTTGTTTTGAGGGCATATCATGCTTTTTTTTTTCCTCTTCAATTTTTGAGAGTTAGACTGGGGACAATGACTTATTAGGTTTTCTTTGGAGTGAGTTTTCCCATTGTAGGCACTAGGAAGAACCAAGGCAAAAAGCTGGAGTCAGCGTCTCATATGTCCCATCTGATAACTCTCTCGGGGCCTTTGCCGCTGTGGGGGCTGAGTGGTTTGTGGTGGTCTCCTCCTTTTTAAAGTGCCTGTTTCAAAGAAAAGTAGCCATTATTACAATTAATTTTTAAAAGCTCAAGTTATTTCCAAAAGAGTTGTCCTGGCCATGCAAATTGAATACAGCTATTTTTCTGGAAGGTTTTGGATTTAGACCTGCAAAGCTTTAACCAGATGAGTAACTGCATGGAGCACACACAGAAGACATTTCAGTATCTCAACAGTACTTCCTTAAACAGGCCAATTCTTACAAAATGTAGCATGGAATAGGTAACAAAAGGAACTCTGATGCTGGAAAAAGCCTTTAAAGCTTTCTTTTGATTGCATATTATGTTATAGGAAAATAAGACAAGAACTAGATTTTCATTAATTGTTTCACTGGCATTAATTCCACTTGTAGTTTCACAGTGGCAGCCTAAGAACTGTAGGTTGAAACACCTGAAATTTCCCTTTAGAACTAAACAGCTGAGGAGAAAACATATCTCTATAATTAGCTGCATTACTCACCTGGAAGTGGTTTATGAGGAGGCAACTTTGGATTACTGCTTGGAGTATGAACACTGCATATCTTAATGAAGCCAGCCATTAACATGATCAATGCAATTCCCATAAGCAACACTGCCCACCAATAAGCCTAAAAAACAAAACCACAACAAGATTGTGAGGGGGCTGGCACACATCCACAAGAGACAGAGGACACTGAATATGGCTTTTCACTGTGATTTAGAAGTCATCCAAAAGCTCTCTGAAACATCACCTAGAATATCCAGGCTAACATTTGAAAGAAACGTCCCCAGAGTTCTTCCACAGAAAAGCTGCAGAACTTCCATTCTAGTATCAGAAAGGGCTCTTCATGGAAGATACACTCCAGCAAAGCTGTGTAAGCCTAAAACAATCAACAGCTTACACAAAATTGTCTATGCAGCTCTCCAAGGGTGTTTCACTCGAGCTCCTCTTCCAGTGCATTATTATTAAAGTGACATCTAACACAATAAAAATTATGAATGCTAAAGATCAAAATATTTAGTTCCTTAAAAGAAGTCAGAGCATTCAAATATGAAGAGTCATAACATGAAAAAAAGTAAATTAAAAATGTGAATGGATAGAGGTGTTAACAGAGCCTTTTTATTTGTTTGTTTCAATTCCCTTCAATCTAGCCAATTTATTTGTTGCACACAGGGTGCTTACAGAAAATCTAGTGAAACAAGGGCTAATTATACTTTGAAGAATGCTGAAGCAGTCTGCATATCAACACTTTTCAACTGTGAATCTTGATTACCAAGAATGTTTCATATTAGACTTGTAATACAAAAATATACTTACCACAATCCATTCTGCAATATTTTCATATAGTTCTGGATTAAAGATTGCTTTCTTTAGTCTAGCTAGAGGGCCATCAGCATCCACCAGCCGACACCTCATAAACACATCACAGTAGCCTTTGAAATCATTGCAGGGAGAGCCCGGCTGCAAAGTGATGGTTTCAAGGTGAAAGTACTCCTGCCATCGGCTCGAGCCTGTGCTTGCACAAGTAGATGGGTCCACTGAAAAGTGAATACAAATGAATCAAACCATTATTGTATTAAAACATCCATGCATGAACACCCACCCTAGTGTTTAATGGCTTAAAATGCTTCTCTAATACTCTGGGAAAATGCAGAGTGCATTGTTTATTTCCTATACAATACAATGCAATGTCTGTCTGAAACTATGTTTGAATAAAATACTCTCAAAGCTAACAAAAACTCAAGTGCAAACTCCATGAGCAGGTTCCTCAAAGCCCTCCTGCTCTATTTACCCTTATGATTCAGGTAAATCTTACTTTTTCTCATGCAGCAGACATGGCACAGTTCTCTGTCATCCTTGCCATCTGAACTAGCACATGTACACTCCTCCAAGCCATGCTTCTCACAGATAGAGCCAGCACATTGCTGTGGGAGACAAAAGCACAGCAACACAAAAATCAATTTCACTTTCAAGTACACCGACATTAGGAAAGATATTAACAATTAATATCTGAAAGCATAATTATAGCTCTAAAGATGCTTATCAATAAATCAACTGCTTCAATTTTTTTTTCCAAAGTTTATATACCAAAAATTATTATTCAACATCAATATTTGGCATATTTTCTAGTTTTTTAAAAGATGATTTACTGATTTTTTAACACAGTATCTTCTTTTATAACCTTTTATAACCTGCAAAACACCCACAGCACCACAATTCACACTGAAACATGACTACTCAAAATCATGGTTAGAAAAATAAATCTTACACATGTATACACACTAACTCTCTTGGAAAATAATAAAAATTAATGTCAGAAAAGATTCTGTATTTAATTTCACTGCGTCAGGATCCTTCATACTCCAAGTTCAGTTTATTTACAATTTTGTTTCAAAATCAGTAACTATATGAAAACAATTCCTCTATCTTTAAGATGGCAATAAATAAGCTGAAAAATATTACAAGCAGTACTTCATTAAAATCCTGGACTGTGGAAAACAAACAGCACAAAAAGTTACAGGTCTTAAAGAGGACGATTTTTGCTTGTGTTTGCTTCCAAGCAAACATAGATCAATTTATAAGAGGCTTCCTATCAATATTTCATGGCAACTGCCATGTTCTCTCTAATCCAGGAAACTAATTGCAGTTCAGAAACATTCTAATTCCATATGTTTGCACATCAGTGCTGTATGTACATGTTTGGAGAAACTGTATTGCCAATAAACCAAATTCAACCTCATTTCACAGCATATCCAGTTTTCTAAGACAACAGAATTATTGACCAAGACTGAAGAAAATGAAAAGGTGGGACTAGAAAATAAACCATTTTCATAATCCTGACTTTTACCAAAAAGTGTAAGTTTCTCAGACAGTACTGCTACCTTGGGATTTGCAATGTACTTCTTAATCCTTGATGTACCTTCACTGTTGTTCTGATTGACACCAATAAATCAAACATCTATACAGAAAAAGACACAGGGCTTGCACTCCTGTGCAGTAAGTACAGAAACTGTATCAATTCACAATAATTAGCAGTTCCATAAGGCTGTAAAAACCATACCCCCTTTATGCAAACTTGTGTGTTCCTGTTGCACACGGTGAAGTTCTCTTTGGGTTCAGATATTGGGCAGAGAGCACTGACACCATTGCACATTCCTTCCTTGGCACAGTCGGAATCATTCCGACACTTATCTGTCCTGGATTTGAAATCACACTGGGCAGTGCAGCACGGGCCTTGGCTGGGGCTGCAAACAAACACAGATTGTGGATGCCAACAAAAAGCACGAACCATTCCAAACAGACTATTCACCCTGAAGCCTACTCAAGCACTCAACAAATTTCTGATTTGTCCTAATCAAATGTTACTTGAAAAGAATTTTTCCCATAGCATAATTATGCTTATGTACTTCTCACTCACTGTATAAAGCATTTTAAACAAAATCAGTACTTTTATGAAGATGCAGGTAAGCAGATTCAGA